GGGTGAAAGAGAGCTAGCCCCAGTGGTCTAGTGGTTGAGTTTGGCATGCTGTGCTTTGGCAGCCCAGGTTTAGTTGCCAGGCAAGGACCTACACCACTCATCTATCAGTGGCCATGCTGTGATGGCAACTCACATACAAAATAGAGGAAGATTGGCAACAGATGTTAGCTCAGGGCTAATCTTCCTCAGCAAAAAAAAAAAAAAAAAAAAAAAAAAAACAGGGTAAATGAGCTATTTGGCACATCTATGATTTCTCTCTAGATATGTCTTCTGAGTTAGTATCCATTTCCCAACAAAGCAGATTTGCTGTTCTGCCTCGGAAAGATTCTTTCTCATGATCATAAAATTTGCCATTTGTTAACCTCACATTCAGTTATCGTAGTTATTGCTCAGTCTTTTCAATGTTTATCCTTTGCCTCAATATAAAACACTGAAATTGTATAACTGAGTAATATTTGTTTCATTCCTTTCCTCATATTATTTTTATCCTTCTCACAAAACTGTAATTACCTTCACACAGTCATGTGCTCCATAATGACATTTCAGTCAACGATGGACTGCATATGATGGTGGTCCCATAAGATTAGTACCATACAGGGCCAGCCCTGTGGCAGAGCAGTTAAATTCGCATGCTCCACTTTGACAGCCCAGGGTTTCGCCGGTTCGGATCCTGGGCGTGGACATGGCACCGCTCATGAGGCCATGTTGAGACGGCATCCCACATGCCATGACTAGAAGGACCCACAACTAAAAATATACAACTATGTACTGGGGTGATTTGGGGAGGAAAAAAAATAGAAAAAAAAATATTAGTACCACACAGCCTAGGTGTATAGTAGGCTGCACCATCTAGATTTATGTAAGTACACTCAGTGATGTTTGCACAATGATGAAATCACCTAATTACACATTTCTCAGAACATATCTCCATTGTTAAGTGACACATGACTGTATATGCTCCATGAGAAACACATTTCATTGAGCAACCCCTTATGTGCAAGGTTCTTTGTATACCACTATTTCCTGCACAGGCTTCTCAGGTGTTTATAGAAGTACCATTACCATCTTCTTTCTAACGTAATAGCTCCTGACCTGTAACCTCAAGTAACACAAAGTTATTATATAAATTAGTCACTCATCAAGTTGGGGGTGGGGGTGGTAGAATTGGGGAGAGGCAGGAGAGGGAGGAGGGAGGAATACAAAGGGGCACCAGAACACTTGGGGAGGTGATGGATGTGCATATTATGATGGTGGTGATGATTTCATGGGTGTATCCATATGTCAAAACTTACTAAATTTTACACTTTAAAAAAATAAATAAGTACATTAGTCACTTATGAGTCATGAATATATTTCTTACAAATTATACTATAGAAAAATTGCAGAGGGAGGGCCCGGTGGCATAGTGATTAAGTTCATGCTCTGCTTAGTCAGCCTGGGGTTTGCTGGTTCAGATCCTGTAAGGACCTAGCACTGCTCATCAAGACACACTGTGGTGGCATCCCACATACAAAACAGAGGAAGATTGGCACAGATGTTATCTCAGCAACAATCTTCCTCAAGCAAAAAGAGGAAGATTGGCAACAGATGTTAGCTCAGGGCCAGTCTTCCTCACCAAAAAAGAAAGAAAGAAAGAAAATGTGATATTCAACAATTTCTCCTACAAAAAACTCATTGAAAAAAATCCTGGATCTTGTCTTTTCACCATAAGACATTATCTATGATGGCTTCTTTCCAGTAATGGTTAAGAGATTAGGCTTCAGAGTTAGGTCTCCAGGATTTGAATTCCTGCTCTGCCATTCACCAGCTGTGTAATCTTGGACAAGTTATTTACCCTCTTTGAGCCTCAGTCTCCTCATCTATAAAATTGAGATAATAATAGTATTTATTTCTTGGGCTGAGGAGGGGATAAGATGTAAAACTCTTAGCACCAGCCTCATAAAGCTCCTAGGCACAATGCTTAGCTCAGTGCATATTAATTATTATTTTGACAAATACTTCAGTGTCTTTGTGGAAATCACCTTGGTCTAGTGTTCAAAAGAAAATATTTAATGATGAAACTATTAAAAAGTGAAATAATTGTTTGGGGCTCCACCATTTCTCACAAATCATGCTAGCTTATAATGATGTCACAAGACTGCCACGTTTGAATAATTTAGTTCATTTTTATTCTCAGCCTTTAATATCATCCTGAAACTCTTATTAACATTAACTAAATTTTTACTTTCACTGACATTTCTTTGCTTGAAGAAGAGAAAGCTTAGACATGGTGTGAAGTCTTCCAGTGCTTAGGATATATGGCTACCTGTTCCCTTCCCACCTAAGTCAGAAGCACAAAGGAAAAACACTGACGTGAAAATAAAATATTTTAGTCCCAAATAATACCTTAGGAATCTTTAGTTTCAACATATTGCATGGGATTATGTAATTAGGTGATTAAAAAGTTTTTTCTTGAGGCCAGCCTGGTGGTGTACCAGTTAAGTTTGTGCAATCACTTCAGCAACCCAGGGTTCGCAGGTTAGGATCCTGGGTGCGGACCTACACACTGCTTGTCAAGCCACGCTGTGGGGGGCGTCCCACCTACAAAATAGAGGAAGACTGGCACAGATATTAGCCCAGCAACAATCTTCCTCAAGCAAAAATAGGAAGATTGGCAACAGATGTTAGCTCAGGGCCACTCTTCCTCACCAAAAAAAAAAAGCGCTTTTCTCCTTTAAAACTAGCAGAGACATAGACCTTTACAGACTCTTTTTATCTTCTTTATATTTGCTTTAAGGTGTCATTTTTCTCCCATTTTTAAGGCGTCCATTTTTCTTCCTGGTTCAAGACTTGTCGTCTTTGACTCTTGTACCCTCCCTGCAACTTATCAGTTTCACCTCTTCATGTCTGTTCAATCTGTTCCTTCCTGTCCTCAATACTGGTACCTATGACCTTTGCTTCCCATACTGCCAGTTTCACCATGTTCATTTCTTATATTTCCAGGGAAAGACACCTCTGAGAAATCTCCAGTGACTCCTATTGCTTGTGGAGTAAAGTCCAGACACCTTAGCCTGGTTATAAGCAGGGCTTTGCAGGACTCCACCCATGTCCCATTATCCCCTTCCAGCAGCCCTCGGTCTAGCCAGTGCACCGCTCTACTTACTGTTTCCAGTCCCCGCCCTTTCATCTCCTCCACTCTAAGTTATTCTCCTTGTTTCACGTCTTATTTCTTTTTTCACTTCATGGATGAAGAAACTGACACTCAGAGAGGTTAAGTGACTATGACAGCACCTGTGGGAGAATAAGAATGCAAGTTTCTCTGCCTCAGACCCTACTCCTGAACGCTCCAGTGGGTATCTCTTAAGAACAAGGATATTCTCTCACATAACCACAGGACAACGATCAAACTCAGGAAATCTAACGTCGATGTAGTACCATTATATATTATACGGGCCATATTAAAATTTCACGAATTGTCCTTTATAGTGAATTTTCCCCAATCCAGAATCCCACCCAGGATCAAGCCTTGCTTTTACTTCTCATATTTCTTCAATCTTCTTTAAGCTAGACTAGTTCTTTAGCGTTGCTTTGTTTTCAAGACATTGATAGTTTTTAAAGAGTAGAGGTTAACTGTCTATAACATTTCCCTCAATGTGGGTTTTTCTGAGTGTTACCTCATGATTAGATTCAGGTCATGGATTTTTAGCAGGAATGGTACATAAGTGAAGTTGTGTACTTCCTTCCTCACATCAGGAGGCACACAATGACAGCTGTCTCATCACTGGCAAGACATGACTTTGGTAAGCTGGTGTCTGGCCCACTGTAAAGTTACCATTTTTTCCTTTGTGATCAATAAGCAATCTGTGGGGACATATTCTGCAGTCGCTTTTTCCCCATCAAACTTTCACTCAGCGGTTTTAACATTCATTGATGTTTAACATTCACTATGAGAGGTCACTACGATAGTTGCAAAATGATTTTTCTAACCCTGTTGTTCTTTCTACATTTATATAAACACCTGACATTCTACTGGAAGGAAAAACTTTCCCTTCTTCCCGTATGTTACTTTTTAATCAGGAAAAGAAAAAAACCAAAACGTAAAAAAAGAACTGGATACCATTCTAACTGGAGTGTGCTTGGTTCCGGTTCCCCTTCAGGCTCTGTGGCCCGGACCTTCATTCCTCTGCCTTCAGAGCTCTCAGCCTTGCGGGCGATGGGCACGGGCCATGGACGGTGGACGATCGCCACACGGATTCAAAGCCCAGTTACTAATTTGCTGTGCAGTTGGTAGTTCCAGATATTCTAACACGACACCCCAGGCTCTTTAGCTCGGGAGGAAAATGCTTTTGTGTCTCCATCTCTACCCTATCTTTATGCTTCATCTGTGGATCACAAAAGTATTTATTCCAACATTTCCCAAACTAAATGTGCTTAAGAATCACCCGAAGGCTGGAGAGGGCGCTGCTGAAAGTGTAGACTGCTGGGACGCCGCCCCGGGGGGTTCCCGATTTTGTAGATGAGGGTCAGGGCCCAGGAGTCAGCACTCCAGGTGGTCTGCGGAACAAACTTTGAGAAACATCACCCTCGAAAATAATGGAGGTAAATCTCCCTTCCTCAAGGAAAAGTCGGCGCCACTGGCAACTCCAAGGTGCCCGCTCAGGAAAGGCTGGGTGAAACAAGGGGGCGCTCATCCTTCCGCGCCCCACTGGCCTTCAGAAACAGACATCTGGTTGATGCCACGACGGTCGCGGGAGACAGGTGCTGGGGGAAGAGGCGGCTGGCGGAGGGAGACCGCAGGATCCCCACTTTGGGCAGGCGGGCGGCCCGGTCCTCGCGCGCAGGGACGGGGACAGGGTGCGGGGAGGCCCGCCCTGGTTCCGCCGACCCTTGGCCGGAGAGCCCCACCCCTCACCCTTACCCCCGCCCCCCCGGCCGGGTGCTTAGTCACGATGAGGCTGCGCTCGTCCGGGGCCCGCGCCCCCGCCTTTCCCGGGGACCCGCCCCGGGCCTCCCCGGCTCCGTGCACTTCCGCCTGCATGGCCCTGCTGCCGCGGGCGCTGGGCGCGAGCGCGGGCACGAGCTGGCTGCGGGCGGCGCGCGCCCTCCCCGGCTTCCCGCTGGTGCAGCGCCGGGCCGCCCTCGCACTCGCCCTAGCCCGCGCCATGGCCTGCAGGCAGGAGCCGCAGCCGCAGGGCCCGCCGCCCGCCGCCGGCGCCGTGGCCTCCTACGACTACCTGGTGATCGGGGGCGGCTCGGGCGGGCTGGCCAGCGCGCGCCGGGCGGCAGAGCTGGGCGCCAGGGCCGCCGTGGTGGAGAGCCACAAGCTGGGCGGCACTTGCGTGAGTATCGGTTCCCCCCCGGCGTTTTTCCTCGCGCCTCGGGCTCTGCAGCGCAGCGTCCCGCAGCTCCCCTTGCTTTCACCTCGCCAGGAGCAGCCTGTGCTCTTTCCTGGTACGATGCATGCACCCGATACCCGAGGATGGGCCCCCAGCGCTGCGCTTTCCGCTTTCCCACCAGCATCTGAGGTCAGGATCTCAGCAGGTTTAGATGAGAGTAGTGTAAATGGTCTTCCAGCGGCCCCCGAAGCTAAGCCTGCGTCTGTTTCAGCCCAGGTGCAACGTTAATGATGGCCGCAGGTGGTTAAATCCAGCATGACTTTCCTGCCCCTTCCCTCGTCCAGGTGGAAGAGTATTGCGTTCCATGCTTGATCTCATCCCTGGGTCCACGAAACATGAAGCTGCACCTGGAAAAATTGCGGCAGGCCTGTGTGTGAGGAGTCGGGGTGGGGGGTAACGCAGATCCAGTTCTGTCCCTTCAATTTCAAGGGCAGAATGACTTCCAGCAGTGGTTGTCGCCCTTGCCTGCACGTTACAATCACCTGAGGAGTTGAAAAATCCTGCTGCTTGGTTGCAGCCTCGGCTCTGGGAGTTTTGGAAGCTCCGCAGGTGATTCTGAACTGCAGTTAAGGCTGAGAACCATGACTAAAGGTTACTTTGATGTAGGATTTACTATTAAATGAATTCTCAGACCTTTTCCTTTTGTTTTGTTTTGGGGGGGATTTTAAAACTACCATAAAAAAAAAAAAGAGAGTTGTAAATCCTGCGATGAGAAATTAGTCATCATTTAAAAAATAAGTTTTGGCCCCAAATTATTGGTGTGGCCTTTTCTGTCACAAGACTTGGGTGAGGTACTTGCTGCTAAAAGTAAAATGTTGTGGGGCCGGCCCGGTGGCCGAGTGGTTATGTTCGGGCGCTCTGCTTCCCTGCGGCCCAGGGTTGCGCTGGTTCGGATCCTGGGCGCCACGTGGCGCCGCTCAACAAGCCATGCTGAGGCGGCGTCCCACATAGCACAACCAGAAGGACCTACAACTAAAATATACGGCTATGTACTGGGAGGCTTTGGGGAGAAGGAGGGGAGAAAAAAAAAGATTGGCAGCAGATGTTAGCTCAGGTGCCAATCTTTAAAAAACAAGTAAAATGTTGTATCTAAGAGAAACCTGGGGTTGGGGATGGGTCCTCTAAATTCCTTTGGAGACTGATGTTTAAATGATACTAATTTGGGAATCCCTTAGGGCTGTTTGTGTACCTCTTATCACCTTAACAAAATACCTTGCTCAATAACTGTGTGTGAAATGAATGAAACTCGGAATTGACAGCTGTGAAAAGGCTGACTCCGTTGTCCAGTGCTCATCTTTCAAGTTCAAAATGAAAGTTTTGAGGAAAGGTGATTAATTATCCAGTTGCACCTTGACATCTTAGTCCAGACAGACTCTTAGGAATGTCTGTCTCTACAGAAAGCAGATTGTGGGGTGCCACTAAGAGACCCCCTGGACAACTGGTGAAAGCACTCGGTAACTGCTCATCTTTGTACCTCGCTCATCTTTGTACCTCGCTCCTTTTTTCTGTTGTCCTTCTTCCCTGTTTATGTCATAATCAGCATGTGGCATCTGTCATCATTGCCTGGTTCCACTGGTTTTAACCAAGAAGGGGCTGACCTGGTTTTTAGGTTCCTGTTAGAATGTGAATACACTCAGAGAGAAACTACTGAGAGCAATCAAAGGACAGCTCGAGATGGGCAGCCATTTACTGCCCCAGAGAGGGCCTGGCCTGACTTATCTCCTGCTGCTGCTGCAGCTTTTATTCCCCTGGAAGCATTGATATCTCAGCAAATCCCCTATTGGACAGTTTTATGGAATTCCGTTTGGGCTCTTCTCTAACCGGTTTTTGGTTTGGAATTACAAGGAAGGGTGTTAGGTAGGCGTTGAATATCAGAGAAGGTACAACCAGTTGCTAAGACTCAAGTTCAGATTTGGTGAGATTCCAGTTATTTGGGCTAGCCCCAGCTGCAGGAATGAACTGATTACATGCAGCGACTTCCAAGCAGGTCTGGGGAAAGCTGTCTGAAGCACATCGTTTCATTTGCTCACGTCCTTATTTCTTGTATTCTAAGTGCTAAGTATTTGGATTGGGGCTGGCTGAGAGAATGGGGTAGATACAAACATTTGTAAACAAAGGTCCCGTCCCTCGAGGAATTTACAGTATAGTGGGGGAGCAAAATGTGGACAATCCCAAAGTGAGGTGCTCTGGATTCGGTGCTGCAGGTAATAGCAAACTACAGAATTTGTGAGAAGAGTTGGAATTATCACTTCTGCCTGAGCATCATGGGGTGGTTTCGCAAAGGAGATCGTTTCTTTCTCAGCTTGAACAGATGAATATCATTCTTTGGCAAGGAAAGGTCAGGGGCCGAGGCATAGGGGCAGAAGATGTTGTGTCACCAAATGTGACTAGAGCAGAAGTGTCTCTAATAGAAGTAAGAGATAGAGAAGCTGATGGGTAAGTTGTGGTAAAAAAAGTAGAGTTTCTGAAAGCGCAATAAACTGTGGAAGGGTTTTGAGTAGGAGAGTGACAATAGGAGTGGTTTTCTGGTAGTGGTACTATTGAGAGATGTCCCTTGGGAAAGTCAGATGGGAGTTTCTTTAATATTCACTCTCCAACTACTTTTTTCCTTAATAACATACATTGATTCTAAAGCCTGGTACATCTTTTTAAGTTGCCATGGACGAATTTACATGGGAGGTTCAAATTAGCCTTACTGTAGCCGTGGTTATTTCCAGGTCATGGGATGATATTTTGTTTTTGTTTTAGTTTTTTTGTTTGCTTGTTTATTAGTTCGTATGCCAGGTATATAGGTATTTTTTAGATGCTGGGATCAAGCAACAAAGCAGATAAAAATCTCTGTCCGCAGGGAGCTGACATTGTAGTGGTTATCTGTAGTTTCTAAATTTTCCATGCAGTACTTTTGTAACGATTAAAAAAAAATTCAAGTTTTTGTTTTAAGCCTTCCTCTGTGAAAGTTCGGATCATGGAGTGATAGAGCTGGAAGTGATTTTGGAGATCCACGGATCCAGTCTGATTATAGTTTTTTAAAAAATGGAAGCGCTAACGTAAGCTTGCTGACTTAATTCTTTTAGAGTAATGGCCATTAAAAAAAATTCTACTATCACTATCATTTTAATGAAGAATGATATTTTAATAAAAGTAGCAAGCTTATAATTTCAAGTAAAGAACTGCACTTTAAAGAGTACTTGTAGTTTTATGAAACACTAGAAGGGTCCCATTGTTTTCATTTCATTATGGATTGGACTCATACAGATCGATGCAGAAATTTAGGAAGCATTGTTCTCGTCCAGGACCCTCACATTACTGAGGAGCAAATTGAGTGTCAGCTAAAATGTGGTTGAAAACAAACCAAGCGTAGTATAACCTGTGGAATTAGCAGCCCAGCCATCAGAAACCATGGCTTTGGTGTAATTGTGTGGAGTAATTGTGACTTGATGAATGTTTTTAAGCATTGTTCTCAATTACAAGGGAGAAACCTTATTCCTGCTTCTTACGTACCAGACATCATTTACTCTGAAAACACTTGGTTAAGGGTCTACCGCGTGGGTCTCCACCCCAGAGCTGATTTAGTTGGTCTGGAGCGAAGGCCCAGCAGATATATTTTTAAAGAGCTCCATTCTGATTCTGGTGTACATGAGCCACACACAATGTGGGGCCTTTGTGGGAAGCCGGAACTGTGTGCAGACTTTCACTCCATGAAAGCATTAGAATGAATCTAATGAACCCTGCCTGATTGGGGCGTCAGATGACAATGAGTTTGGTCCTAGAGTCATTCATTTCCTGCTTTCATCATGTCATGCTTCGGAGCTAACCAGCCTCACATGCCTGCCAAGGGTGGTGTCTATGTGGTGTGACTGCTTCCCTTGATTTCCTGACTCCTTTTCCAGGAGGCTTTTTTTTTCTTCTGTGATACAAATGAGGAGACCCCTTTCAAGAAGATATGTAGGGTGATTAGGGTCACATGTGAGGGGATGCACTATAATTAGTGTTCGGGTGGTAAACATGATGTAATGTATAGAGAATTCGAAATGTGATGTACATCCGAAAAAAATAAAAATTAAATAAATAAAAAAAAAGAAGATATGTATTTTCAAGATGAGTGACATGTTGGTGTACCTGAGAGTTCACTTTTCTTTCATAGAATTTATTCCTTTAAACTGTTAAGAGGGTCAGGTATGAGATGATTTTGCCCCATATTGTGTTCAACGGAGGAGGACAAACTTTTCCTCTACCCTCTTAGGTTTAGTAGCTGGGGCCTGCAGATTAAACTGACAATAGCCAGATTAACAGGAGAAAAGGTTCATTTTGTATGCACATGGGAACATCACAGAAAGAAGTGAGAAAAAGAAGCAGTAAGGCCTGGGAGCTTAATACCAATTTAACAAAGGGTGATACATTGTGGAGAAGCGACTAGACAAGGGAAAGGGAGTTTGGGCTTCTGCTGTGGTGAATTGTGGGAAGGTAAATATATGGGGTGAACTAATGGAAGATAAGCGTTACTTTAATAAGGTTTTTTGGCGCAGATTCATCTCAGTGCTTTTTTTTTTTTTTTAAAAGGGCGTTTTAGTACCTGCATAACCAGCACATTCCCATTGTTTACAACCCCACCCTAACTGTTTCCTTTTAGTTCTTTTAGGTGTGGTTCTCCTTTCCACCCTGGAATATATATATATTTTTTGTGAATAAGATTGGCCCTGAGCTACCATCTGTTGCCAATCTGCTTTTTTCTTTTCCTCCCCACAGGCCCAGTACACAGTTGTATATCCTAGTTGCAAGTTCTTTTAGTTCCTCTACGTGGGACCCCGCCATAGCATGGCTTGGCGAGAGGTGTGTAGGTCTGTGCCAGGTGAGCCCGGGGCTACCAAAGCAGAGTGCATGAACTTAACCACTTTGCCACCCAGCCGGCCCCCTCAGTGCTATCTTTCCATTTCCAGTGATAA